CATTGCAGCCCCAGCAGGGCCCTTCACAACAGCCCTGAGAAACTGGGTAACACCTCTTCCCTTATCCCCAGGAAAATGCACACAAGCTCATAAAACACAGTCCATCTACAGTTTTGGGGGGCGGGGCCTCGAGCAGGGGCCTGGGCTGGTGTGAACACCAGGCTGAGGTGACGAGCAGCACTGTGGTGAGCACTGCAAATGCATTTAAGACTCACGACTGCCCTCTGAGGACAGAAGGCTCTCTTTACTAAATGATGAAACTGAGCCTCGGCAAGGCTGCATGGGGGGCCCAAAGATTATAGGTAACAAGATGCCTCATTGGGACCTGAGTCCAGGATGTTTTCTTCCAAAGCTGCAACTCTTAACCCCTTCCAAGTGTCTGGACCAGCCACCGCCTGGTCAGTATCACCATCTGTCCTCCACACTCACCCCACCTCCATACTCGCACCCATCTGGTTCTCTTACCCTAACTTCTGTCACTTCCCACTACCCGGCTCAGGCAGAATGAAGAAACTCAGGTATTATGACACACAGCGAGCAGGGGATGTCCAGAAGAGAGCAAACAGAGCCAGGCGCCTGCAGGAAGCCCCCAGAGGTAGAATCGGGATTTGAACCCAGATCCGCCAGATTCCCAAGTGGACCTGACCACACCCACTGTGTGGTGGCCTGGCCTGTCCCTTGTGTGGCCTTCTGTATGTCTCGCCTTTGGTCTAGGACCCACTTGGGGCCTCAGAACACTTTACTGGAAGCCGCTGTGGCAGACTGAAGGGACAGAGAGAGGGGACAGAGAGGGGACAGGCCAGCCAGGGCACCCATGCATTAATTCATTCTCTAAGGAAGGAGCCTCAGCGCCACCATCATCTTGGTTCCCTCTCTCCTCTCCCTCTTCCTTCCCCATTCTGCCTCCCAGGGCTCCTCCTTCACCCGCAGCACCCTGGGGTTCCCCTCTGCCAAGCAGCCAGCTTTCTTCTGGTTTCGGTCAATCCGTGGCCTCCTGCCCTCTCAGGTGGCAACTAGTGACTGAGCCCCCGCCGCGTCCTGCCCGCAGCGAACGAGGCGCGCTGTGGCCGGTGAGCAGAGCGCCAGGAAGGCTCCCAGGACCAGGGGACATGTGGGCTGAGACCTGGAGGGCCGCGGGCATCAGGCGCTGCCTGTTAGTGCCAAGCAGGGGACGAAGGTGGGGTGGCGCGCCCTAAGGACGGTGGTGTGATAGACGGCAGTCAAGGGGAGAGGGAGGCTACCCGGCCGCGAGGGCTGACCCGGCACTTAAATCAGGGGCGG